ATGTTCCTAAGTCATTTTACGAAGTCTTTTCACTAGGTCATTTTACTAAGTCATTTTACTAAGTAATTTCTACGAAGTCATTTTAGCCAGTCATTTTACGGAATCATTTTACCTGGCTTTTTATTTTACTTTTTATTTAATCTTGGAATTAGATAGAGAAGAACAATCAGTTGAACGTTAAACAATCAGTTCTTATAATTAGAATACACTGATCACCGGTTGGTCATTGATAAAAATTCTAGATTTGAATACCAATGCAGAAAGTAAAGTCTTGTAAACAAAATTATTTTCATCACTACACGTACATTAACGGCCACTTATTAGTAAAAATATTATCTATAAAATGGTTATGTATGAATGAAACGTTTCAGATTTTTGTTTTGTCATTTTTATTAACTGGTTAATTGTAGGTAAAAAATCTGAACAAATTCTGCCAATATGTATTTTTCAGGTTTTGCTGCTTGTCTTATATGCATTCAAATATCATTGATAATTACGTCATAGTGGCAAAGCAGAGAGTTTTTTAGACTCTCCCTCAAGTTCATTTTTGAGTCCTATAAGTAGACCAGTAAAGTATCCTGGATACCAGCACTATCATACATAAGAAATTGGTTTAAATCTTGGGTAATGAGGAAATTAAAAATGAACTGATTCTAAAAAATCTGTGGTTTGTCACTATGTCAATGTGTTACGTAGCCTCAGTATTAGGCCTTTGATGGCCATTGACAAAATTTTTCTATGTCGAATCGTTTTTGAGTTTTGGGGCCCAAATTGGGGGTTTTTGTTAAAAAAACAAAAAGTGGTCAAAGTTACCCCGCCGGTCAAACTCACCGTCAAAGTAACCCCATTTTACGGTACCAGCATTATTATACCTACATAAGAAATACTGAAATAGGTATAGGCCTAAATCTGAAGTAAAGGAGGAAATTAAAAATGAGCCAATTCTAAAAAATCTGTGCTTTGTCACTATGTCCTTATACCTAATAAATACATCATTTCATGTATAGAAATAAGTTAAAATATTTCAATCACATTGGGCTTTGTAAGCACTAAGCCTAAGACTAGTAAGAGTAAGACAACAGACTGTACAGACATATTAGCCAAAATTGACACTCCATAATGATAGTCCATTCTTCCTTTTGTTGTAAATTCTGCATCAAAGCTCAATTAGGGATTAGGCTACTACATTATAATTATCAAGCTTTTTATAATATAAATATATAAGCCAAACTGCCAAAGGGTACCTAGGCTAGTATGCTATATCATCATATCATGTAGATTGTAGAATTAGAAATTAAGTTGATTGTAAGCCTTAACTTAAGGTCAACCCAAACGAGTTAAACACAGGCAATACTACAAGAATTAGGTTTCAACAAACCTGTTTTTATTTAAGGATGTACCTAACATCAACTGATCAACATGACTAACTGAGCGGATGCATAGCATGGACCTGTTCCCTGCATAACTGATCAACATGACTAACATCCGCCGTAACCTATTCATTAATCAGAAGACCCAAAATAGGTACAAAACAGACCGCTCCTTTATAACTTAGCAGAAATTTATGATATTATATTGCCTAAATAATCCACCGTTCCTGTAATTGCTCCTTCTTGTTCATCATCTCAGTTACAAAAAAAATATTAGATCCAATCCACTGAATCTGAATCCAGTGACACCTAATCCTAATCTAACCATTCCCCATGAACAGATTTCAAATTTGAGCGCTACCGTCACTTTCCCTCTGAATTCTAGCGGCAATTCTGCCTAATTTCGTGCTGTGTGCAAATACGTCAAAAATATTTAAGCAGTAAAAACACAATGAAAATTGTTTATACGCCGTGTAACGGTTTGGTTAGTGTAAATCTACGATTAGAAAAAAAGACTAAAAATAAATGCTGAGGAATAAAAAAGCTATTATCATAGGAATAAGTTCACGATCATATGATCAGTATAGAGACAGGCACAAGCATAATCACAATAAGTTTTTTTCAAATAATTAGAGGTAAAGATGTTTTTAGCGTGTAATACAATAATGTTTACATTTGCAATGCAATTCATACAAACAATTACCAGTGGTTACTGTTCAGCGTACCAAGATTGGAGCAGAGTTGGGGGTTCGATTCCACCTACAGTATGTGCGGCTTGGAGGCTGGGCGGTTTAGCACAGTAGAATTGGAGCAGCGGGTTGCGTGTTCGCTGTTCGAGACCGCAACAACCTGTGAATGTTCGTCGATGTCATGAATCAGCGACAGGTCTAAACAGCCTAATAAACGATGGAACCGCTATTGCTATTACTCCGCACGAGGAGATACTGTATGAAGAAGACAGTTGACCAATACGAATTTACTCCCATGATCTTTGCTTACTTCTTGAAAAAAAGTGACAGCAAAAAATAACACTCATAAAATGAAAGCAGTGATCAAGCTAGGAATCTTGGAAAAAAAACCTAGTGAGATGAAGTGTCCGAAATTTTGGATCAAGTAACTTTTTCTTGTCGTTGTAGTATTTCTTAAATCACATCAAGACGTTTGGAGGTGAACCATTCTATTAAGATCAACTCTAAGAAATACCTTCTTACAAGTATTCGCGTACACAGAGTTAATATTGTTTGATTTAACTGAAATGGGGCGTTTTTAAATATTATTTAGTCAAAAATATACACGAACTTCAAGGAGAATCTCTAATGAATCATACTCGGAGTTCATGAAAGTGTAGTTGTATGCAGGTCAAACGTACAGATAAATTTTTCAGCTGAGTTGTGGAATATAGATAGGTCTAGTTTCAGGTCTTCCGATCTACGGATTTTCGTTTGCATTGTTAGTGTAAACTGATTTTATTTGCGTAGAGACCTAAGTGGCCGCAATACCCAAACCAAATGGAGCTCATCAGTGATAAAATGGACTACATCTTGATAATGAACTTTTGCCCGCGGGAGCTTTTAAACAGGCTGACCGGAGATTTTCATGATCTTTTCCCTCCTAATTTCATTTCGATCTTCTAATTCTTTATTTGTATTTCTGAGTTTCGTTCTTAACTGAGTGCGACATTTTTGGCATATATGGCTCGCAGTAATCAGTAATTTTTCGTCGAGATTCTTCGGCAATCGACAAGCCAATAATATCGCTCCGATCACTTGGTGGCTCATCGTTCCTACTGTAGTAAAACAATAACTAACCAAAATTGCAGTATTTTGAGAACTATGGTATATTTTAGACCTCTCTCTTCTGCGTCTATAAGCATAATTTATATCATTGAGTAATTTGCTGTCATAAGAAACTTAAAATTATCTCACCCGGGCCACGAGTACTGAAACACAGCGACCGGATTCGGCATAGCAAATAACCTAAGGTAATTATTAGGCAGCATTCTACGACAGATTTTTCAACTACACTTCTTCATAAGAGAGGTACCTATCTCAACTCTCTTAACTCACGTTAAGGTCTGAGGTCTCTTAACTCACTAATGTTAAAGTCTGAGGTCTCTTAACTCACATCAAGGTCTGAAGCCTCTAACGCACGTTAAGGTCAGAGATCTCTTAAATCACGATAAGGTCTGAGGTCTTTTAGCTCATGTTAATGTCTGAGGCCTCTTAACTCACGTCAAGGTCCGAGGTCTTTTAGCTCACGTTAATGTCTGAGGTCTCTTAACTCACGTCAAGGTCTGAGGTCTCTTAACTCACGTTAAGGTCTGAGGTCTCTTGACTCACGTCCCGATACCTATGATGAAGTATCGTTACTCACTTAACATACCTCACCTTGCTCTGTACTTACTTTACATAGGGACTATTTTGCGCCCAATAAGCTCGATAAGAGTATTTGTTGCACTGAATAAAAGACCAAGGCTGATTTGGTACGTTGAATCGCGCAACAGTATGATCAAAAAAGTTGTGGCGAAAGCGTGCCCAGGTTTCGAGATCGAAAAAAATTATGTCATTTAGGCAGGAGGTGGACTCGCCAAATAGAAGCAACGCACGAAACTACTGAACCTAATTTCCGATCATTATAGTTTCTATTGCGTTACGAGATTTCCCGTGAGTTCCCAAAAAAACACTCTGTCTCTAATGACAAAATCAATTATGGGCAGTGTAGTCGTAATAAACGCGAACCTTTTAATAAAAAGTTTCAATGTTTCAAAAACGTAAAACTATTGTATCCATATTTATTAGAATTCATAAATTATATGCCACTTAAAAAATAGATAACAACAGACGGGTTAGAAAATCTTATGGTTAACAATAAATATATCTGCACTCTACATAAAGGCATTACACCCATAAATATGAATGAAATATCTATATTCTAAAGAACACATTGTATAAGCAGAAATAAAAGGACTTCATCCCGGATCGCCGGTTTCGCAAGACACGTCTGTCGAGATGGACCGGCGGCCGGTGCTGCTGTTGGGTGAGCCTTCGAAGCTCTGGTAAACATCAAGGACTGGAACATCGCTGAGATGTTGAAGTGACTGTGATTTAGGGAATATTTGAGGTCCAAAACCCGACTTGCGTTTGATGCTCGTAAGTGCGGTGTCAATAGACTCAGCGCAATCTAACTCCAGGGAGCAACTGCTTTCATCATCGATGGGTGCGCTGGAGCTTGCAGTTCCGCTGGAGTCGCTGCTCTGGTAACCTGAGTCGTCTTGTTTCTGTTTCGTACAATTAGAGCATTGGTTTTCAGGTGTCTTATTTTCCTCTATGTTCGCGAGTTTTGTCTTCCAGGTTGTGATTTTGGGCTGAGACACGTCGGATTTTTTAATTACGCGTCTCCAAGTTTTCTTGATGGTGTCTGCATCGGATTTTCCTTTCTCGATGAAATGTTTCTCCAGTTCAGTTTTGGCACATTGACAAAGCTTCACATTTTTTCTGGTAATGTCTGTGTCCGACGAACTACATCGAGAGGATGAGCCGAGGCCGCTTCCCGACCAGCTGTTCCGTTTACTGGCTGGCGATTTGCCTTCGGCAGCCAATATAAATTGGCCACTTACACGTTCTTCAGAATTGGAAAACTTTTCATGCCGATTGAAGTGAAATCCCGCTTGACTAGCAGTTTTAGGCAAATGAGAAGGACTCTTATTCTTTACGGTGTTTAGCTCGAGCTTAGAATTAAATGTAGTCTGAAAAACTGGCACTGTGTTTTCAAGTGGAGATGTATCACATCTTTCGTTTTTTAAAGACACTTGACCCAAGACTGCTGGATGAGCTTGCAATCCTAAAAGAATAGAAGCAGCCGCTGCGTCTGATAACTCAGGAATGATGTCGTTCTCTGTGGGGGGCTTAGAGGCTTTATTTCTCTTCGCAGGAAGAGACGGAGGATTCACCCTCTCGGGAGTCTTCGCCTCTTTCAGCGGCAACGGAGGTTTTTCATCTGGTACAGCAGTATTCATCTTTTTCAATTTCGGTGGTCTCACCGGTGGAGATACTGAAGACTGCTCGGGACTAAATTTTTTGGAAGAGGAAAGTCGTAATTGAGCCTCTACATTAGCATTTACTGTAGGGTCTACGGCATCGTACTCGCCAACGTTATCTTCTCCAATCGAATCAAAATGTCCACTGTCTCTATCTGCATTGTTCTGGGAGTCATGAGTAGTGATGGACTGCAGGGAGACTGCGCTCGTCGCGTCATAACAATCTTCGGAATCGGTGGCGCAGTAGTCCGAGTATTTACCAATCAAAATAGAACGCGATCGAGCATTCCTCCTCTTCGGAGGTATTCGATCGATCGTATCCATGTCAAACGAGGTGTTGACGTCGTCTTCTGTCTCAACGTTACTATCAGAATATTTAACATTATTTGCGCATGAATTATTGAATCCATTTTCTTTAATAGCAGATTTATCGGAAGACATTTCTTGCTTATTGGACTCATTCAGGCGGGCTTCACGATCGTTAATATTTTCCTGAACAGGCGCTGCACAATTTGAGCAGCGGCTGGCGGAAGACTCTGGAGCTGAAATAGGTTTGTCGATTACCTCGTAGGAATTTTCTGAAATGGTAGAAGCGTTTCCGTCAACTCTTATATTATTCAAAATGCTTGGAGATAGGATTAATTCGCCACCTGAATGGGCACCATCGTCGTCACTGAGGTCATCATGCACTTTCCGTTTCGTGAGATCATAATGCTTTTCAGAAGAGTCGAGCGAATCTAAGTCTTCTGCCGGCGATGTTCCAGTCTGCAGATCGATTTCTTCTGCAGAATGAAGGTCATACGGGATCTCATTCTCAATTCCCTCTAGCCATTGTTCAACTTTACCGTTCCCTGAAGTATTTTTTTCTGTAGTTTCAGAATTTTCAATGCCGGATAGACATTTTTTTGGCCTGCCAAGAGTTGAAATGGGAGTTTTAGTGTCTCCATAATGGCGAATGCGATTAAAAGTTGCGATCATCTCCTGGCAGAAATTATCAAAAGAGCTCGGAGCATCATCACTTTTCTGCCTGCTATCTTTCATAATACTTCGTAGAAGTGAAGGTTTGATGAGGGCAGGCTGTCGCTCGTCAGAATTGACAATATTACGCACTTGATTACGCAACTCACTCGCTGATTTATATGGCTTGGGAATATTTGTATGAACTTGAACGAATTGAAGTGACCTTTGAGAGTTTTTCGTTTTTGATGAGCCAAATGATACTTCGGTAGTGGCATCTCGGTTCTTACGGTCAAGGGTTTTAATTATTTCTGAGACGAAACTCGTACCGCGTTCATTGACTCTTTTTGCTATTCTCTTGAGCGTCGACACCCGGCTTCCTCCTTCTGAACATTCGTCCAGCGAATCAATGGTGAACGTTTCGTCTTGTTGACCACCGTCCACCTGAGGGTCCGTGCTCACGGCTGAATCCCCAGGATTTTCTTTATTTTGGAAACCCAAATTGAATGAAATTCTTGATTTTGCGCGAGGAGTGGACGCACAACGACTGTGAGGTCTGGATTGACTGTGATAAGTGTAGTCGTCTTCAGGGATGTCGTTGAGACTCGGATGAAAAGTCTTGGTGCGCATCTTAGTTTTTGCCGAACTGATGATTTCTCGGATCTTGCTGAGGAAGTCGAGAGCGGCAGGTGGAGGCTCCTGTAATGCAAAATACAATATATCCTGTAATGAAGGAAACAATATATTTTTCGAAAATATACACCTTAATTATCTCTCCGAGATTAGAAATGCAAATGAATGACACATGAAAAATTCCAGTCCATTGCTGAATTACAAAACATAAATTATAAGTAATAATATCACTCGTTTGCTTGAATCGCAAATTCACTAAAAACTTAATAGCAAAGAAAACTCCACAAAAATTCATTGAATCGCAAATTCACTAAAAACTTAATAGCAAAGAAAACTCCACAAAAATTCATAGTATCTTTAAAGAAACGTTTTCTTTAAAGATACTATGAATTTTTGTGGAGTTTTCTTTGCTATTAAGTTTTTAACATAAATTATTTGAAGATTGAAGTATTTATACAAAATTAAAACCCTTTCGGGATATAGCAAACATTTAATGCCCTACTAATCGATGTAACCCCACTGTACCTCACCTGCAAGAGTTCAGGTTCAAAATATGAGGGATTAAAGTAGAGTTTCTTGCGACCATTGTTGTCCACGCTCGCTGGGTTGTCTGAGGGCGCTGCGTTCTGTATTCTACCGGACATTAGCTCTAAATCATCCGCGTTTCTTACGTCTGCGGACAGGAAAAAAGGCTGATGAACCGGAGCAGAGCTCCTATCCGCTCGCTCGATCCCATGGTGGTCAGAGTGACTCATTCCATGAGCCGATTCCTGAGGGAGCCGTTGATCGCTCTCAGTTTCATGGAGATCAGACCTTCGCTGACGATGAACGTTGATCTTATCATCGATGTGTCTCCCAGAAATATCGTCGTTGCTATAGTTGTAATTATCTTCACTCGGTGTGTGGTTTCGATGCACGTCACCATGTCTCTGATGGAGTTGTAGTTGTCGTTGCATCTGCAGGTGTTGGAGTTTGCGTTGGTGGTGCTTTCGAGTCGCAGCGTTGGAGACCGTCTCGGGGATGTCACGGCAAGGGCCAGAAGCGCTCAACCGCTGGTGCTCTTCTCCTCGACCTGACTTGGATGACCCCGGTTTGCTGGCCTTGAAAAAAGAAATAATTTTACTAATTAGTTTGACAGTTAAAGAAATCATCTATGCTTTTTTCTGCGAAAAATTATATAATATATTGTATATGAGAAGTGCAACAATTGGTACAAAATTCTGGTATAGAGAACTTTGGGGAAACAATTTGCTCAAGCTTTCCAGCATTGACAAGCTTTCCAATTAAATTGGCTGGTGAATACTTTTGCCTAAAATCTGAATTTTGACAAATGACACAGAATCAAATGAGTATCAATAAGTTACCAAACAAATTTAAAAAACGAAAGCAGAACAAAAAGTTCAATCATCAAGTGAATTTAATGCGGAAGCGAGTGCCATTGCATTCCGGAGTTTCCGCGCACATAACAACGAACGCTAAGACTGAGCTCCCTCATTTTGTTCGTTTACCAATTGAACAAAAGTAATACAACGTCCTATTTACTTCCATGAGGTAACCAGAAGAGTCAGCACCAGACTTTAGATTCACAATATAACATAACTTAGTGATGTCGGCGCTGAAGAAAGGGTCTGGTGTGGCCTGTCGCCGATTCTTGTACTTTTTCGTGTGTGATTTTAATTAATATAGCACCAGATTTTGATTCATGTTTGAAATTATAGCAGGAGCGGCTGTAGCTCAGGGGTAGCAGCACCGAGATGAAAGAGGCTGGTCGTGGGTTCGAACCTTGAGAAGCTCAGTTCATTTCTCAGTTTCATTGCTGCACGGCGCATGATATACGTCGAGGGTGGTGCATCAGCATGGCCTTGAATTAGTGCCCAAAATATCCCACCAAATGTCTGATATTGAATGGTGTGAAATGGTGTTTCGTTGAATCTACGTTAGTTAAGAGTAGTTTCAACGTCATTTGTCAGGGAAACGATATGTGTTACTAGGGGTGTTTCTTGAATGGATTTCAAGGTCTTAAAAGACAACTGATGAAGAAAAAAACGTTGATTAAACGTTGCTTCAACGAAATAACTCGCAATCAACGTAGTTTAAACGCCATTTGACTTGAGGGGAGGTTATGTCACCTGACTGCGGCGACCGGTGGAGCTTGAGTCAGCGGCACTGAGGGAGCCACTGACACTCGGCGCTGACACTCGGGGGTCCCCCGCTGACGGGGCCAGCAGCGGGGGGCGCTTGGCCCCCAGGGGGCGACGCCCCCCCTCAGACCCGGGGTAGGAACTCGTCGCGGAGAGGCCTTGTTCAACGCTGGTGTGGAGGGGGGTCAGGTGGTTAGCGTTTGGAAAAAATGGTTCGTTCAAAAAATAGTGTTCAGTTCAAAATAATGGTTCATTGAGACTAATGTTGGTTCAAAATAATAGTTCTTTAAGATTAATGTTGGTTCAAAATAATGGCTCTTTAAGATTAGTGTTCAGTTCAAAATAATGGTTCGTTGTGATTAATGTTCGTTCAAAAGAATAGTTCGTTGATAATAACATCCAGTTCAAAATAAATTTGCAAATAAAATATGGTGTTATTCAAAGTATTGTTGCCAGAGAAATAATCTTTCGTTAAACACAATATTTCGATGAAAATATAGCTTAGTTAAAAATATTGTTCAGTTCAAGATAGTCTTCCGTTTACAAAATGTTTATTTCAAAATAATATTTCTTGCAAAGTAAAGTTTCGTTTGGAAATCAAAATTAAAACTATTACGTTTATACATAACATAAAGAAAATACACACACATCCTTACTTACTTACGTACTTATTTCCAACAAAAATTAATTACTCGATGTTTTTTGCAACGTGAAAAAGAATGTTGTTGTATGGAAACGTTGTTGATAAATTTAAATTATTTCGTTAAACCTGCCGTACAATCAACCGATGTTATCTGAAGAATGGTTCGACTCTCTGATAATTAAAATCATGAATTTGCTGGTCATTGTTTGTACTTGTTTAGACACAACTACATCTGCATGAACAATCCGAGCCTATTATATATTAATTTTCCTTATTTATTTACAAGAAGTCCGTGTGTATGAACTTGGTAATTACCAAGCCAGTTTAGGAGATCTGCTCCTCCTGTAGAGGAGGCTGGCGACAATAGAGAGGTAGATCATAAGCTTTAGTACCGGTACAACCTGTGCAACCACAGCTTATAGTACCAGTACAACCTGTGCAACCATAGCTTTAGTACCGGTACAACCTGTGCAACCATAGCTTATAGTACCGGTACAACCTGAGCCACCATAGTTTTTAGTACAGTACAACCTGAGCAACCATGGCTTTTAGTACCGATACAACCTGTGCAACCATAGCTTTGGTACCGGTACAACCTGTGCAACCATAGCTTTAGTACCGGTACAACCTGCGCAACCATAACTTTTAGTATCGGTACAACCTGTGCAACCATAACCTTTACCAAACATAACAAATATGACTTAATTAAGAAGTCAAGTGGGCAGCAGAAGATGAAGAATCGATAGATATAAAAAATAAATGATGTTATGATAAACCACTTATGAGGCGCAGAGGTTGAATTAAGATAAGTTATTAAAAGAAATGCATCATTAGATAATTTTCATGACCGTTAAAATTTCATAGTTAAAAGTTTGTATTAATTAAATGATCAGCGTTCAAAGTTCAATGGCATTTAAATTTATAGCGTTTCGAGTTCATATTATTATTAATTTATAATGCTTCAAGCACAAAGAATTTTAAATTGATAACCTTTGATTAATCATATTGTATCAAGTTCATATTTCTTTGAGGCAGTAAATTTCAAGTTCGCATAGATAGGTTCATTATTCTTGAGATATGAAGATATAAAAATATAACCTAATAATATTTCAACGGCTGAACATTTTTAACACGTAATTTAATACGTTAACGAGACGACTCAAGTCAAGTTAGAACGATATATGTCGAATAAATCAATAAGCTTTTAACGATTAAATAGGTTAATGATAATAATATAATATAATAATAATAATAGCGGTTTCAGCGTTTAGTAGGCCGTAGGCCTGTCGCCGATTCTTAAATGCGCATTAATATCATAATAACACAGCATATCGATTGATTATAATAACATATCGACTCATCACACACACACCACACACATCATACACACACATCACACACACACGCACCTGAAGGGCGGCTCCAAGTCCGTGGAGTTAGGCAGCGCCTGCCAGCCGCGTCGCGTCAGCCTGCGCGCCTCCTGCACCACGCAAAGCGGCGCAGACTGCGCAGACTCTGCGCCTGCGCACGGTTTGTTGTTTACCAAGTATACTATATTATAAAATTATACATAATAATAATATAATTTAAACGATCGAGAATTAAATTAATGCGACGTACACCCATGAAAGAGGCCGAATTCAAAGAACTCGAACGTTTTTCACGCTCCAGATGAATAATGCGAGTAAATAAGTAATACAATTTATATCATAGTAATAGAGCATTGTGTAGAGCATGAATTAAAGAAAACCACATTGGACGAAAAATATTTCAGAGGAATGACTATCAACATGAATACATATTTACTTCATATCGCACTTAGGTTAACAATGATTTCATTGTAAATTACGATGGATTGAGGAGACAGCTACGTAAATCATGACTACCACGACACAAACCAATAAAAAAACACGCTAATTGTTTTTTAATAAAACACTCTGCTACTTATTTAAATATGTCTGTCATACACAAAGAAAACATATAATACAAATAAATTATTATTTTGAACTTTATATTTAGACTCAAACAAATTAATTAACGAATTTATTCAGTTGCTCACCCAAGATGGCGACCTCGTCGTTGGGGTTAAGCAATTGGCCGCGCGCGGGCAGGTGGACGAGCGGCACCGGCGCACGTCCGCCCCCGCCCACGAACTCGGCGAGACTGCACTCTGGTGGCACCCACGTCAGCATTATAACAAGGTGCTTAATTAATACCCTTAATGGTTCTTGAACACGGGAAAGTATTACCCAGTAGTATTAGCGGCAAGTATTTTCCACTTCGAATATCAGGCTGATTTCTTCCAATTTTTAGCCATAATTTTCGATATTTTGAATAGAATTGATATGTAAAATTTTGTTTTCTAATTTTTATCCAGATATTTGAAGCGGAAAATACTTGCTCCTAATACTATCTGCAGATGCTTTTACCGTGCATTAGACCAAATTTTACCACAAAATAACAGAGCGCTATTGGCTCGAGAAATATGACAACAATAGTTGTTAAACTAAGATAAGTGAGTCTAGTTCAAGAGGATGAAGAACTTATTGGTTGGTTCGATCAAGCAGGGAGTCTATACAGTTCACACAACCATGATTAGAGCAGTGAGTTGCAGCTTCGAAACCGCAGAAGCTTGTAAGAATTCTGTGAAGTCTGGAATCGGCGACAGGCCAGATCGGCTCATTCAAGGTTGACACCACAATTACTACAGTTTTTTCAATAATATTTTATAAAAACATTTTGTTCCCAATACTTTGTTGCTAAAATTTCATAGCTAATACTTTATTTATAATATTTTATTACCAATATTGGTATTAGTAATTTTCAATTACTAATTGAAAATTATTATTTTCAATTCTACTTTCTCTACTAATTTTTATTCTCTACTTTCTACTACTAATTATTATTAGTAATTCAATTACTAATAATAATTTTGTCTTGGCAATAAAATATGTTTATTACCAATACAAAAGACTGACCGCTGACGCTGTCGGTGCAGGAGAATGAGTCGTCGCGCAGCAGCGGCCGCTCAGGAGGACAGCGGCAGCGGCAGGACGCCTCGGCAGGCGGCCACGCGCCTGGGCCGCTGATGGACGACGCATCACCGCCCAGACAGCGGCACACTGATGACTCTTAAGGTAGGAAAAATTGTATATAAATACATCTGTATTTTTAGCGCATTTTCTCATTTATGGAAAAAAGGCGCTCTTGTGCTCGTCATGTCCGTCCGTCCGTCCGTGACTTCACGTTTTCCTCGACGAGAAAATGCGCTCTCTGTCACTCACTGCAGTGAGTACTGAGTTATATTTTTTATTTTATGTATATTTATTTATTTTATTTTATGTATAAATGTATATAAATACATAGGCGCCATCTACACGGCGACAAAAGTAAATTATTGCGGCTATAAATTACGTCAAAATTTCATTTTACATGTAAGTCTTGAGCGGAAAAATATTAAAAAACAGGAGTTGTTCCAGTTAATGAGAATCAAATTAATCGTGAACGCTAATTTTTAATTTACCAAAAATCTAAGTCAGAATTTGAGTAGCATTAAACCTTACTAATCGGTGTTATAATATTTCTTAGAAATTTTAAATTGCATACAAAATGTTCAATCTTATTTACAAATAATTTTTACAAATTGTAAATATGTATCTACGCACCTCTGAACGTGCATAAATATCTCTACATAATATTAATTAGAATATGCAACTGCCTAGTAAAGCGAACAAATCTTTCCTAAAAAACGTTAAATTAATACGATAATATTACCAATAACATTTAACAATGAAATATTGTTATATTCATTTGTAGGCGTGAATTAATCTAACCTTATACCAAATGAATATTTTTCCGATAACTTTAAATTAATGCTATGATATTACTAATAACAATGAAATATTTCAAACATTCAGCTGTAAGCGTGTAGTAATGCAAGCTTGTAGGAAATGAATATTTTCCAATAACTTTAAATTAATACGATGATATTACCAATAACAATGAAATATTGTTATATTCACATGAAAGCGTAAATTAATCTAACCTTAAATAATTAATTAATTAATAAATCTAACCTGTAAGCGTGTAGTAGTCACCCGCCTCATGTCTGACGACAGACAACACGTCTTCATGGTCAGGCTCTGCGCTGACGATGCGAGCAAACATCGCGACCATGACAAGCAGTGCGAGTCGCAGTGGCTGTCGTCGTCTTCTGCCTAGCGCACACTCGGAGAAATGAGGAGACTTTGTCCGAATACCGATGCACTGTTTGTCCTTGAGTGGGTCATCTTGATCCAGTTTGGCCCGGCATAAGAGCTTATTAGTGATATTTGCAGAAAGTGGGTCGCACTTCTGTCCCTTGAGTGGGTCATCTTGATCCAGTTTGGCCCCGCATAGGAGCGTAGTAGTGCTATTGGCAGAAAGCGGGTCGCACTTTTTGCTCTTGAGTGGGTCATCTTGATCCAGTTTGGCCCGGCATATGAGAGTATTAGTTCTTCTTGCAAAGAGTGGATCATTATTTGGACAATATGACCCATTCATTATTTTGAATTCATCGGTCATCACGGGTTGACTATCAATCAATCGTACGGGCGATCAGGCATGACATTCACTGGGGATAATGCACTAACAATAATGCAGATGACGGTGTAATAATGACGCAAACATTTTATGTCATTTTCTTAAAATAAATTAGTCACTGCATGAGAGTCCCGTTAAGCTACAATTAACATATTTTATATCATGATGCTTTAGAATATCTTATTGGAGATAGTGAATTAGATTGAACTTCTGGAAAAGAAAAAGAGATTTTGATATTTATATGAATAAACAATATGTATAAGTATGTATACTAAAAAATGATAAAACATGCAATGCATCGAACACAATGAGATAACAGGGCACTGGAACTAAAAGTGTCAAAATATGTTCAAATATTAAATTCACACTTGGCTGTTTTGTTGCTTTGAGTAGGAATTAGAGTGAGGACTAGAACGGTACTTGTGCCATGGAATAAATGCAGTTCTAGTCCTACACATTTGACTAGGAGCCGTACTATCAAAGCTTGCTGTAATACACGTAGCGGCATTCTCGTTTGTGATTGATGGATATAGTTCGAAACGCCGCCAGTGATTAGCTGACGGAGTTACGAACTCGAAGCTATTTGTGATATTATGGCCCTAAAGCGGTTGCTTTTTAATCCATCGACTGGCAGCAACGTGTCTGGTACACCCAGAAAAAATAAGTCATACTGTCCAAATAGTGACACACTTTCTGCACGTAACACTGCATGATACGTCCTTTTACCTAACAAAACTGGGTCAGGATGGCCCACACAAGGAGAAATTAGTATCGCTATTTGGATAAAGCCTTATAAATTTTTTTGAGTGTAACTTGGACAGTCGGTCACCAATGAAGCTCAGGCAAGACTAGCGGTCTACCCTCAACCGAGCCTTCTTGTCCGAATCGAAAAATCAACTAACGGCGTTACGGCCGAAGTAAAAATACGCGTGGAAGACTGAAGTCCATTCCTTCGAGAAACGCTCAGTGAAGAAAACTCGCAGGGAACGTTAGCGCGACCATGACGCAGCGCGATCGTTTATTGTGCATGTCCGTCGTGCGTTCGAACACATGGTAATCTACTAACTCTACGTTTTGTGACTTCTTATTTTCGTTTAAAAATAAATTCGTAAAAAGCATAATAGAATTTTTAGAGACAAAAAATTGTACGAAAATATTTAAAGTAGCTGGTATGCAAATGCAAAGAATAGATCTGTCACTAAAGGTCTTCGAATTTTTGTAATTTATTTGAAATTGTTAAGATTACCTAGTCGCTAGTCCGAACCAAAGATTTCGCGTGATCTAAAATGTTAGGGAAGAGAAATCAAATTATAATGTATAAATAAGTAATTTTGTGTAGAAGTGCATAAAGCAACATTGCAAGCCTTTCAAAAGGCACTTTACAGGCAATAAATCAATGAGATAGGGACAGTTCAGTATTATCTTATTAACAGTCTGGTGGAACAATCACAAAGTCTCTCAAGGACGGGCTTTCTATCTACGGCTAGATACTATAAATATTACCATTATAAATACTTACAATTAAATATTTCATCTTTCATAAAATTTGTACAACATTTGCATGGTATTAATCGAACATTCGATTCAAGATCAGATAGGATATTACGAAATCTAGAGCAAATTAAGTAAGTCCTTAGAAACATTTCCGTTTTAAATACATACTTAAACTACGTAATCTCAATAAAATGCATTTGATCGAAAAAAATAAGTACGATGCGTCAAGAAAAATAGCCATAGGACTTCTGCAAGAAAAATACGCCCCTGAAAGAAATCTCGTCTCGAGGGCTGTTATTGCCGCGAGTTTTCCTGCAAGCAAAGCGATGGTTATGTGAGAATAATGTTCAGTTCAAAATAATGGTTCGTTGAGATTAATGTTCGTTCAAAATAATGGTTCTTTAGGAATAATGTTCAGTTCAAAATAATGGTTCTTTGAGATTAGTGTTCGTTCAAAGTAAGGGTTCGTTGAGAATAATGTTCAGTTCAAGATAATGATTCGTTGAGATTAATATTCGTTCAAAATAATGGTTCTTTAAGATTAATGTTCGGTTCTAAATAAATTTTCGATAAAATTATTGTTTTTTTTTTTTTCAAAATATTGTTGCCTAAGAAATAATCTTTCGTTACACACAATATTTCGATTGCAATATTGCTTAGTTGAAATTATTGTTCAGTTCAAGAAAAACTTCCGTTTAAAAAATGTTCCTTTCAAAATAATATTTCTTGCAAAGTAAAGTTTCGCTTGGAAATCAAAATTAAAACTATGACGTTAATACATCACAGATGCAAAGTACACACCCATCCTAACTTTTGTACTTATTTCCAACAAAATTTAATCTTTCAATGTTTCTTGTAAAATTAAAATGAATTTTTCGAATGAATCTATTCGAAACTTCGTTAATAAATAAAAATTACTTCCTTGAACCTGCCGTTAGATGTACCGACGACATCTGAAGAATTGTTCGACTCTCTGATAATTGAAATCATGAATTTGCTGTTCATTGTTTGCACTATTTAGACATACTTACATCTGCATGAACAATCCGAACCTATTATATATTAATTTTCATTATTTATTTACAAAAAGTCCTTGTGTATAAACTTGGTAATTACCAAGCCAGTTTAGGAGATCTGCTCCTCCTGTAGAGGAGGCTGGCGACAATAGAGAGGTAGATCATCAGGGAGAGACCCACAACCGCTCCCCCCAACAGCCACATCCGCACTGAACTACTGGCTCCCATAGAGTCTGTAAATAAGGCAATAAATGTCATTAATTCATTTAAGGAGTCATTTTACTGAGTCATTTTACTAAATCACTTTACGAAGTCATTTCATTAAGTCATTTTAAAGTCATTTTATGAAGATATATTACTTGGAAATGTTACTAAGTACCGGTAATTTTACCAAGTAAATTTATCGGGTCATTTTACGAGGTCATTTTACGTCATTGTAGGAAGTCATTTTACAAGTTATTTTACGATGTCAATTAACGAACTCATATCATTAAGATTTTATACAAAGTCATTTTACAAAATTTTTTACGTTTTGCTGCTTGTGTTATATGCATTCAAATATCACTGATTATAACGAAATATTATTGCCGTACATATAAGTACAAATTCGCTTAGAAATAATCTCATATCAATTAATTAAACTTCAATATAAATAAGAATATAAATCAAGGTAAATATGAATATAAATCAAGATAAATAATAATATAATTCAATAAATATGAATGGACGCTCGTTTACCATCCGGGAGCTGCGCGGTGCCGGCGACGCGGAAGGCGATAATCTCAAATCAATTAATTAAATTTAAATAATAAATAAATTATTATTTAAATAGCCAATAAATGAATATTAAATAGTCAATATATATGAATAGAATATGAATATGAATAGTTAGTCAATACTCAATAGATATGAATGCGGACGCTCGTTTACCGTCCGGGAGCTGCGAGGAGGTGCCGGCGACGCGGAAGGCGACGCAGGGCGAGAAGGTCGCAGCGGCGCGGCGGGCGGCGTCCCGGCAGAGGAGCTTCACCTGCACCACGCCGCTGAAGTTGTTTGTAAGCTAGGCAGTAGGCCTTAGGCTTAAGCCATAAGGTTGTAACATCCGTCCTAACTATTCATGGATCAGATTCAGAAGACCCAAAATTCAAAACAGACCGCTCCTCTATGCTTTAGAAGAAATTATATTGCCTACATAATCCAGCGATCCTGTAATTACTCCTTCTTGTTCGTCACCTCAGTTAAAATAAACTTAAAATATAATATTAGATCCAATCCAGCGATACCTAATCTGACCATTCCCCATGAACAGATTTCAAATTTGAGCGCTACCGTCACTTTCCCTCTGAATTCTAGCGGCAATTCTCCCCAATTTAATGCTGTGTGCAAATACGTCAAAAATTTTTAAGCGGTAAAAACACAATGAAAAATTTTGATGCGCCGTTTAAGGGTTCGGTTAAGATTGTAAATCCATGATTAGAAAGAAAAAAAAAGACTAAAAATAAGTGCTAAGGAGTAAAAACGCTATTATCATAGGAATAAGGTCACTATCATAATATCAGTATAAAGACTGGCACACGAGCATAAATAATAGACCCGGGCGGTTTAGCACAGCAGAATTTGAGCATTGGATTGCGTTTTTGAGACCACAACAAGCTGTGGATGTTCGGCGATGTTAAGAATGGGCGACAGGTCTACGGCCTAATATACGATAGAAGCGCTATTACCATTATTCCGCACGCGGAGATATGAAGACAGTTGACCAATACGAATTTACTCCCATGATGTTTGCGCACTTCTTGAAAAAAGTGACAGCATAAAATATCACTCATAAAATGAAAGCAGTGATCATCATCATGAATTTTATCATTACTGGTAGTTTGAAAACGTACAGTACCAGTAGTAACATACATTATGTTTCTTAGTATAGTATCTTCGGCATTGAAGAATAGGCCTGGATAGGCCTGTCTTGAGGTGGTCTTGATGAGCTTCGTACTATGAACCGTAGCATTTGCACTTGCTATCGCTAAGTGTAATACCTTGTTCTACGTCGTTTCCTTTCTGTTATCATTGGAGACCCAATTTAAATTAAGGAGACACACAACAACGTTATAAATACTCGCATCTTGAGCACATTTTTTCTTAGATTCAGGTTCTTTGGAATGAATCAAATTTTGGTAGTGTTTGGAACTAGTTTGGAATTTTTTGTACGCCAAATTTTTATTCTGAGTAACAACTTGATATTTAGACACAATGTTCATCTACTCGAGAGACATCTTGCATGCAGACAGAACATTTATTTGCTTGAAATCAAACTTTCGTGTTAGGTGCAGTGCACAATTCCGTCGTAGGCTTCAGCCTAGAACTTCCCAAGAACTTGCAGGTATCAAATCCACAGTAATTTCTCTACTTTGTAGCTGATAAGAGGAAATTTCAGACTGATGGTAACGATCCAAACTTCCCTGCATTCATAATGTCATGTTTGTTTCATATGAACTGCGTTCAAATATCCATGCAAATATCTATGTATTGAAAATGGCATCGTCGCCGCAGTTGATACTTTAAGTACTAATTAGAAATGGACTTCTTCCATGATTTTAGCAATTTAAAAACTAATGACATAAGATCAATTCAACATGCTCTAGCTTTTACTAGCCTCAAACGAGCCTAGCCA